CGGAGAAGAACTTTCCAGCCTTTAAATGGGAAGGACTAAACTTCAGTGAAAGACGTGAGGTGTTGAAGACAGATAAGATGTAGCCTGCTGTTTTTGGGTCCTGTTGAGCCAAGTCGAAACCTAGAGTTGTTTTATATCCTAAACCAAGGTAATAGAAGCATTAGATTCCAGGTTGGGGTTGTGTTTGTTCTATGGGAGTGCAGATCTGCTGCCAATGACCTCTATAGTGAATTGTCTACCATTGTACTATAGATACTCCCTGTTTTTTCATTATTATATAAGGTTACTCGCACCTTGCCACTGTTCCATTTTAAAACGCTGCTAGCAGGGGTTGCATGCCAAATTCTGCATAATCCTCCAATGACACTCACAGAAAAAACAAAGGACACTGTCTCCTAAGTCTCCATCCTACTGTATCTACAGCAGCATTATAGTGCAGGTTTAGTACTGAATGGTATTTGTGAATTGGACAAGCCCTGCACTGTGTGCTAAAATTCCCTCCTCAAACACACACACGCACACTCTTGATGTTGGAATCATTGATTAAAACTGGTTCAGACTCATCTGCACAGTGATGTGAGTATAATTCAGACAGAGAGAACTGTTTACCACTGATACTTTTCTTTACTGCTATCCTATCTCACCATCTCAGTTTCTCTCTCATCCTCTCTTTCTTCTGCCCCTGTTCCCTCTCTCCTCTCTCATCATACATTAACAGCGTCACAATCGACGTCTGGATGCAAACTATCTGTATTTCATTTACACCTGAATTAAAATTAGCCTTCCGTGCCCCCCAAAGAATTGCTTTGCCCCTCGCAAAACATAAATATGCCTGGCCGACCTGACTAATGCAAGATTATTAATCTTACGTTTCTTCTATGCATAATCTTGGAGGCGCTGGGGAGACTGTAGTGCTGCATGGGCCATTTATTTTACTTCAAAGCTTGCCTCCTCCAATTAGCATACCGCAGGCATCAGCTGATGATTCGCATCTCGGTGTTAAGCAAGATAGCAGGCGTGGTGTTTTTCCTCTACATGTCTGAATCACTGCAGTTTATCATTACAAGAGAACAAATACATGACAAATCAAGCATTGCCGCAACAGGAAATACTTGTGTGATGCTATTTTCCTTTACTTTTTCATTCAGGCTTTGATATTGAAGTGCAGTTTTAGTTAAAGCAACAGTGACAGATGTTTTGACCACTTGGGGCAGCAAAACAAACCGTAAACCTCGATATAGTATTACCTTACAAAGTTGTTGTAGGGAATGTGTTAGCCAACTGTTGCCTGTTTACCAGCCAGCAGACACATTAGCATTCATTTAGAGTCGTGCTTCTGGCCACCTGGCGAATTTAACTCCAATATTCACTCTCCATATAGCTCTGGCTTGGATTTCACCGACTCCTCAGAAAAAATCATCTGTAATTGCTCACCAGATAGTTGCAAACTTTGTCTGTCTCTCTTGTTTGGTGCTGGGCAGCGAGGCAGTGTACTGTGTGTGAGAGTAAATCAAACAGTAAATCTGCCCTGCTATGGAGCGCTTTAGCCGCTTTCAGGCTCAATGTTTTTGGTTTTTACACCCCCGCGATTTTACTGGGGTTTGATTTACCGCACACACAGTACACTTGCCTCGCTGCCCAAGCACCAAACAAGAAGAAGACAGACAAAGGTTTGCAAACTATTCTGGGTGCAGCAATTCACAGATGATTTTTTCTGAGGGATCGTGGAAAATCCAAGCCAGAGCTATATGAGGGGAGTGAATATTGGAGTTAAATTTTTCGCCAGGCTGGCCAGAACACTGACTCTAAAGAATGGCTAATGTGGTTCTTGGGGCGGCTGGTAAAACAGCAACAGTTTTGCTTAACCACATTCCCTACAACAACTTGTGTAAGGTAATATATATCGAGGTTTACGGGTTTGTTTTTGCTGCCCAAGTGGTCAAAACATTCTGGTCACTGTTTGGCTTTAACTAAAACTGCCACTTCAATATCAAAGCCTGAATGAAAAAGTAAAGGGAAAATAGCATCACACAAGTATCTTCCTGTTGCGGCAATGCCCTTGATTTGTCATGTAATTTGCTTCTCTTGTAATGCATAAACTGGCAGTGATTCAGACATGTTAGGGGGAGGAAAAACACCACCGGCCTGCCTACTTGGCTTACACCGGAGGGATTGCGAATCATCAGCTGATGGCCTGCAGGGGTATGCTAATTGGAGGGGGGAGGCAAGCTTTGAAGCTAAAATAAAGGCCCCATTGCAGCGGCACTACAGTCTTCCCCAGGCTGCCTCCAAGATTATGCATAGAAGAAACGTAAGCATTAATAATCTTGCATTAGTCCAAGGGGTCGCAGGCCATATTTAAAATTTTTTTCTTTTGCGGAGGGGCAAAGCAATTCTTTTGGGGGGCACGGGGGAAGGCTAATTTAATTCAGGGTGCGTAAATGAAATACAGATAGTTTTTGCATCCAGGGACGTCGATTGGTGACGCTGTAATGTATGATGGATAGGAGGTGGGAGGACGGCGAACAGGGCAGGAAGAAAAAGGGAGAGGGATGAGAGAAGGAAACTGCAGGTGGGATGGGTGAGATAGGATAGCAGTAAAGAAAAGTAATCAGTGTTAAACAGTTCTCTCTGATCTGAATTTATACTCACATCACTGTGCAGATGAGGTCTGAACCAGTTTTAATCAATGATCCAACATCAAGGAGGGTGTGCGTGCTGTGTGTTTTTGGGAGCGGCAGGGAATTTAGCACACAGTGCAGGGGGGGCTTGTCCAATTCACAAATACTCATTCAGTACTTTTAAACCTGCACTATATTGCTGCTGTAGATACAGTAGGGATGGCAGACTTAGGAGACAGTGTCCTTTGTTTTTTTCTTGCTGAGTGGTCATTGGAGGATTATGCCCGAATTTTGCATGCAACCCCTGTAGCAGCGGGTTTAAAATTGCGAACAGTTGCAAGGGTGCCGGAGTAACCTTATATAATAATGAAAAAAACAGCGGAGGGGTATCTATAGTATCAATGGTAGACAATTCACTATAAGAGGTCATTTGGCAGCATATCTGCACTTTCCCAAGAACAAACACAACCCCAACTCTGTGTATTATTTAAGCTCATTA